TATTCTAGGTGAACCAATTTTGTTGATTCTTTTTTTAATTTGAAAGCTGGTGCTTCTCATGTGGTTCCATATAAATTTGAATAAGGACTGATCAGTATTTTTTGAGTTATACTTAATAATTTATATTGAAGTCTGTTGTACAAAATTTTTATTTTACCACTTGTCTGCCATAAAGCAATCATTGCAATGGCGTGTTCCACTCGGGGCATAGAGAGTCGGTTTTTATACGTGGTAGAGTCATGCTCCAGCTATATTATGGTTGTAGCACGAATGAGTGGGCTACATCGGAAAAGAGCTACCCTCTTAAATTTACGCGCTTACACCGATTAATACATCACTCCAATTGGAAACATTATGACCAGAACGCACGGCCTGTTGACAGCCTGGAAGATATGATGAGAACCAATCCTGGGCTGAAGACGAAATATTCAAGTGAGAGAGTAGAGCCAGCAGGATAGAGTGGTCGACAATATTAAAAGCGTTAGAAAAATCTATTAAAATAAGAACTGTTAATATAACAGCGTGAAATTGCAGTTTAATGTTGCTGTGTTTCGTGTGGAGAGTTTGGAGAACCGGAGACACTTTTAACTAGAAACTTGGCATTCCATCTTAGTCCGCAGGGATGACAACGTAATTGGCTACAGATGTTCATGACTGTAAATTCCTTTTTCCCTTCAGTTTTATTTTTAAAAGAAACTAGCTGTTTATTACGATTGGGTTTCATGGGTTTTAATTTTTTTTGTGCGGAAATCTATTTTTTTTTCTAAAATAAAAGTAACCTATGTAGCATAGGCTACCTTATAATATAAGCTATCTGCCAGTAAACTTCCCGTCCAAATCTGTCAAGCCAATTTGGAGATTATCCGGAACAAACAAACAGACAGGCAAAAGTTTTTTTAAGTGCCGTTTATACTTTCATATGTATTTAGTAAAAATCTGTTATTTTGACATTACAAACAGATACATATAAGTTTCGCAGTATACCTTTTATTTTCAGTTTTTCAAAATGACTTCCATCACAGTTACTTTGTCATACGTCGAAACCAATCATGAAAAATGTTCCTCCACATTTATATTGGAGTTATTTTAAATTAATCTTTAATGTAAGGTACATTGAACTAAGGATTACAATGGTTGAACCTAACGCGTTAAGAAATTATCTTCCAGTTAACCTCGGGAGAAATAGAGAAATAAAAAATGACTAAACAATAGCATGTAAAAAGACAATATATATATATATATATATATATATATATATATATGTACATATTACACACATAGTATGTATAATATAAATATAAAAAACCATATTTATATTATATACTTTAAATGATTTACAAATTTTATTTTAGAAACCTATAAAAAAAACAAAATAAATCTATATAGCAACTTAATTATCATAAAGTCCTACTCGCCGTATCGTGCCAAGAACGCTGGCTGCGATTCCCCGCTGAATAGCCACTTAGCCTTTGAGCGAGAAAAGAACCAACTCTCTTATCAAATATATAATATCTATTCTACTGATAGTATGCCTCCCCCACAGATTATTTGAGATATTTGCCGCAGTTACAAAGCTTGGCTGGCGGGTTGGCTAATGCAGTTTTTTTGAGTTGTTAGCAGGAAGATCCTGCTGCTCATCTCCCGTTTCATTTCCTTCTATCAGCTCTTACGACACCCACGGGATGATATAAGGTAGTGGATTCTCTAATACTGCTATGCTGCTACACGGCGAATTATCTTGGTTATTTTCTTCTTTATTACATAAGATGATTTTATAAAATATTATAGCGATTCAGCATGGAAACGTAGACAGCGTTCTTAAAGAAAAGTACATAACGCTATACGTCTCTTATAGAACAGGACTGACAAACGAGTACACAGTCCAAGTGATGGTAAGTGGATACTGTGGCCCATAGACATCTACATTAATACTCGATTACGAATTAATATGTAGATGCGTTGCCACGCGTGAGGACTAAGATGGAAAGGCTTGTTTCCTCTAACAAGAGTCTCCGGTTCTTTATACTCACCATACGAAACACAGCAGTGTTAAGCTGCTATTTTACGTTGGTATTATGTTAGAGCGTGGTCCTACCCCGGTCGAGCTGACTTATTCATGCTATAACCATAATTTAGCTGCAGCACGGCTCTACCACTTAAAAATCGCCTTTTCGCTAAAAAAAAGTGTGTTTTTTATTCAGCGCTTTAATAACTCAAAGGCTAAATGCTCAACGTAAACTCAATAGGGCACCGTGTCAGTATCGACGAAATTGCTAATTACAGTTTTAGGTACTGATTTACAACGTATTTGGAGATTAAGGAAAACATCGCGAAGAAGCATGCACGTCTGATAAATAAAATGTTTTAATTACATGCCTACTGTAAAACAAATTTAGGTTTTAACTAATAACTATATATATACAAAATTGCCACCTGCCAAGCGTGGCAGCTATGACAAATCCCTTACGATGGCATTCTATGGTAGGGCTTACGTTCAACAGTGGACTTCAACAGGCTGTAATGATAAATGAATATAAAATGTTAGGTTAAAAGATCTCCCTGACATTTTTCATACGACACCCACAACACGAAATGAGGTAATGTATGCTTCTACCACAAAGCGAAGTTATACGACAAAATGAAAAACTTCATAAGATTACGTAAGAGTTGCAAAAGAATTATCTTGGTTACTTTTTTATTAATATAAAGTTATAGTAGTCATTTGTTCTACATCGTAGTCATTTGACAAACATAAATTGCTTTGGACAAACATCCAAGCCCGAAACATTTATTTGCAGGCCATTCAAACACTTATGTTCTGTAGGTACGAAATTCGTACCCGCAAAGCCAAACGCCATGCTACATATTATTTAATCTGTGAATCTACTGAGTTGTTTTATTGTATTTATTCCTGTTCCTGTTTAATGTGCCTATAATTATTTAATTTCTCTCAACATACATAACATAAAATGTACAATATTTATTCCATAATTAATAAATAAAAAAAACTAAAACTTAAAACTTAAATTATCACACAGTCCTAGGTACTCTCCACGAATACTGCAAAGAACGTTAGCTACATTTCCTCGCTGGCTGTACCTAGTCTTTAAGCGAGAAAAGAACCAGCCCTCTTATCACCAACAGCGACGACAAGTTGCAAATACACACACTACCTTAGGAACTTCACCGCATGTGGACTCCACGGTCTGGAAGTCTCTACACAATGTGGCACAAATATGTAGTCGTCTCTCAAAGACTCATACTTGCGCCACTTACTCAGTTCAACCACCTCTGATGCCACACCTGCTTTAAACGAGGTACCCCTGAGATAAAAGGTTACCAAAATGTCTATCCATGTAATAATCATACTAGGGCTGTACTTCTCTCTCCAAGGGACCCAAGTGCTACTGTCGGGTATCATGCCATCGTCTCTTACACAATGCTCTAAAATCGGAGGAACATTTATAGAGACAAGGGCTCTTCAGATAAAAATGTTTCTCTTATTAATTATTTTTATTATGCGTGTATAAAAAGTAAGCCATTTTTGACATTTACTCACTATGTGGTAGAGACATTTGTATTATGGCTTCAGCATTTTTTTTTATTATTATTTACAGGCTTTACCTTGGAAACTGCGATCACACAAAATATCAGTAAATAATACTCGTAACAAAGTCAAAGTCAAAACTTACTATTAAATTTAAGCTTGATTAAAGCTCTAATGAACATCAACATACATCGGTATATTATCAATGTTTAACAGTAATGACATCAATGTTGCTTTTCTTATCATACATTCAATTAGGGGTGGACAATACATCAGCTTTTCGACTGTTATTTGGGGATAGAAAGAAAATTCTTTATTGCACTCAAATAAACAAACATTTGGTACAAAGGGGAACTTGATGCCGAAAAGACATTCTCTGCCAGCTAACCTTTGGTAGTGTGGTGAGAGCTAGATTAAGTGTCTATGGGTAACACCATCGACATATCATCAGGTGGACAAAAATTGTTCAAAAATCTTCAATACACCAATACATCACAGATTTTGGTCCCGCATCAGAATGTCTAACATTATTGTCTCTTTCAATCAATGACCTCATATATTGAAGTACCTTAATTAAAACAAATACTATCGGTGAATTTAATAGGGTAAGAAAATAAAACGCGTAAATTACGACTAATTCCTCCTAAACATGAAAGAGAGTAAAAATGGATTTATGCTGAGATGCAAAGTCTGCTGACGATCACATTGCATCTTGACAATAGCAATAATTTGTGCCCTTGCATATTATATGCATGCATTTTTAAGATGATTTACCGCGTGATGTCGGCGCTAAAGAATCCATCACGACAGTAAATATTTAAAAAAAAAAACTTCTTTATTTTGATCTATGATGACATATGAATGGTGGTTTTAACTTTCAAAGCATATGAGTTTTAGAGGACTCTATATTTTTAATCTTTTTTTTTTAAATTATTGCAAGTAAAAGCACATAACTATATTTTAATTAAGAGACAATATTAAACATTTCGCCTATATTTTGTGTAAATCTGAATTTAAATATAAATTTAATAAAAAATTAAATTGAGTCCTCATTATTTTGCGGATAATGCGCGTGCATTGGTGATATTACAATTTTATTTTTTAATCACATAACAGTAAATATTTTTCACTTTCTCATAAAATTTAGATTTCTTTATATTTTTTTTTCCAAATTCTGGTTTGATTTGATAAAAAATATTTAAATTATTTGCAATGAATATTACGCACGAGTATGATTCATTATTAATGAATAACAAAATGTGTAGCTTGTTATTAGGTTAAATAAAATTATAAATGTAACGTTTAAACGAAAACAATTTATTATAAAAATATAAATAAATAAAATCTCAAAATAGAATTAATGCAATAAACTATTTAAACAATTAATTAATAATATGGCAAATTTATTTAAGGTAAGTTTATACCTAATTGAGTCCAGCACAACACAACACTGTCACGCGAATGTCCTGTCAATGTCCACGTAGTCGAATTCCGCAAAGAAGGTGTCAAAAGGCGATAAGGAATCTTCGGCAAATTCCGAAGGAGTTTCTTGTTCCGTTGAGAATTCTGACAGATCCGAGCAGAGAGGTGACGGCCACCGTTCAGGTCTTTGTTCAGCATCCCGGTCAGGACTCGAGTCTCTTAGAGCAGCAGAAAGAGCCGTTATGTACCGCATTGCGAGGCGCAGGGTGGTGATTTTCGTGAGTTTCTCGCAGGGTACAGGAGTTCCGGTGATTTCCGAAGCAGGCACGGCCCTACGTAAAGCCTCGAAGGCGCGATTGATCTCCCGCATTCGGCTGCGCTCGCGGGCGTTTGCAGTTTTCCTCCTGTACTTGCTGAGCGGTTGCGGAGTCCTGCGGGCGCGCGGTTCGCGACTCCGCGCAGCCCGCGGACGCAACTGGTACTTTTCGTGCTCGGGCATCGAGTGCCGGCCCGCGAACACGACGCCCGCGCCCGAATTCCGCTCGAAAAATACGCTCACTCCGCCCACTTGCCCCGCTGCGTATGTAGTTGTAGCATCGCGCAGAGAAGTGGTTAGGAAATGGGAACATAGCGTTTGATGCGCTTAAAGTTAGTGTACTGAAAATAATAATGATAACTCCGCAAATGAAAATAATAAATAAAATAATAATAAATAATATGATATAGCACTTATTATAAATAAGTAAAAAAAATAAAATAATAACGTAGCAATTTCTATCACAGGTAACGTAATATTGCATTATATTTACATATATGTTTTACCTTAAATACCGCTGTCTTATACTTATTAAAATACATACAGCATTAAAGGATGTTAAGCTTTTTTTTGTGGACGTAATTAAAATTATAAATGTTCTTTCTTTTCTTATAGATAAAGGGTGACAATCGAGCTCATAGTCCTCGTCTACATTTATTATTGATTAAGAATCAAAATATAGATGCGTTGTCACTCATGAGGAATAAGATGAACTGCGTCCTTTCCAGTAAAGAGGGTCTCCGGTTCTCTACACTCACCATATGAACCACAACAGCATTAAGCTGTTATTTTCTGGTGACCTGTAACACAGGATTTCTTACAAAAACCTACTTCAGGCACCAGTCTCTCACAAAGCTGAAACCTGATTGTGGCAAATTTTTAACTCTAAAAGTACTATTTGTGAAGAGAGAATAAATGATTTATTGTTATTATAGGTTATCTATATAGTTTTCCCATCTATAAATACGAGTATAATACATGTATAAATATATAATTGTAGACGAGAAATATAACACATAAATATCAATAAAATATAATAAATACATAAATAAATAAAAACCCAACCAGGTGGAAGCCCTCGGCAGGGGAGACCAAACGGCCGAGGGTTAGAGGGAAATGAAAAGAAACCAGCGGACGATGCGGGCGGTATCAAGGAGCACCGCCTTCTGCACATGAGCCTGGAGTGGTTCGTCACGGACTCCCAGTCGCCTCAGATGACCTGAGAGACTGACCGGGGTTAGCCCGTTCGCAGAAACGATCACAGGAATAATTTCGATCGGCAGACCACCCCACAACATGTCAGTCACCTCGTGACCCAGGTCCAGATATTTTGTCAGCTTATCTATTTTGGTTTTCTAGAAGTTCTCGTCATATGGAATGGTAATGTCGACCAAAAATATCCTTAATTGTGGCCGGTCCATCAGCATAATATCAGGCTTATTCGCAAGAATAGTCCTGTCTGTGATGATGATTCAGTCCCAGTAGAGCCTGGCGCGGTTATTTTCGAGCATGGCTTTCGGCAAGTACTTATAATATGGCAGTTTCCGATCCACGAGACCGTATTTCAGAGCGAGCTCCTGGTGTAAAATCCTAGCTACTAGGTTGTGTTTGTGTAACTACTCAGAGTTAGAAAGCGGCGAACAACCGGAGATGATATTTTTTTATAGGATAGGGTGACAAACGAGCACACAGTCCACCTGATGGTAAGTGGTTACTGTGACCCATAGACATCTACATCTATCCTCAATAAAGACTCAAGATGCAGATGCGTTGTCACCCGTGAGGACTAAGATGGAATGCCTCTTTGCCAGCAAAAAGAGTCTCCGGTTCTCTACACTCACCATACGAAACACAGCAGCGTTAAGCTGCTATTTTACGCTGGTTTTCTGTGAGAGCGTGGTCCTTCCCCGGTCGAGTCGACCCATTCGTGCTACAACTATACTACTTATATAGTTGCAGCATAGCTCTACCACATAAAAAAAGTGACTCACCGGGATGGCGACAAGCTCAACAGATATCCACGGCGCCATCCTTTAGGATGTATTTCCGATAACTGTTGGTGTTAATAACCTTATTATTATTATTATTTTGCTTTGGTGTTCTGTAAGAGCATGGTCGAGCCGACACATTCGTGCTACAATCATAATATACGAGTTGCTGCAACGTGGCTGTACCACGTATAAAATCTCTTCTTGTTGCCTAACTCAAATTTCTATAACGTAATCTTTAATTTGAAAAAAAAAAGACTGTTGGAAAAGGTCTCCAAATGTTACATTTTTGTGTATCATTCTGCGATAGATTTTCAGATTTTGGAGTGAAGAGCTAATAACTACAAACGTATAGTTAAATTATCCCTGGCTAGCGAGGGATACTCTATGCTGCAAGGAGTTACGAAAACCTAAACTCAATAAAATTTCTAAAAAAAAAACTCTTTCGTTTTTGGTTATCACTTAAACAAAGTCTCCTCTCCGCGTCTTTTTGTTTATCTGCTTTAACAGGTTCCTTGTCCGCAAACAACAGTTAAACAATCGAAATGTTCATATAATATGATTCACAGGGAAAGGCTTAAATATGTAATTGGGAACCATTAATCTAAGTGAATCGTGAGTGTTTTTATTGATAACTAGCTGGTACCCGGCGCCTTGCTGCTGCATAAAAAATAATTGTGGAAATATAGTTTTAAATTTCGAAGAGTTATATTCTGGGGGTCATTGTAGAAGCGTGCTCGTCGCGACCCCTGCCAGCCCTTTTCAGGGCTGCAATTCTACTCAGCTGCGCACCCATGTCAACGAGGGTTAGGGCGTCCCCCCAAGGCGACGCACACCAGCTCGTCCCCGTTGGTGTGGAATGCAGCGCGCAAAGCGGCGATGGGGACCGCCACCCGTCACGCACAGCCCGACACGGCGGAATGTGGAGGACGGAGTGCAGAGTTGGCACGTGGAATGTTAGAGGAGGCATGAGAGATAAGACGAATGAGTTGATCGAAATAATGAAAGAAAGAGAATTAGATGTCGTGTGTATGTCGGAGACCAAACGGAAGGGCAGTGGTACTGAAGAGCTCCCTGGCGGGGCGTTTGCTCTATGGTCCGGAGTCCCGGAGAGCGAGAACGCCTGCCAGGGAGTGGGGGTGCTGCTGTCTTCTCGGTTGGTCGATGTTATGACTGAATATAAGTTTGTGAACTCAAGACTTCTCTGGGTTCGCTTTAAATTGGGACTGACGAAGTTATTCCTTTTGGCTGTTTATGCGCCGGTGGCTTCGTCGTCCAGGGCTGAGCTGGAGGAGTTTTGGGAGAATGTAAGAGAAGTTCTAGATTTGGCTAAGGGAAACGAAAGGATTGTTGTATGTGGTGATTTGAATGGATGGGTTGGTACCGCTCGACCAGGGTACGAGTCGGTACTTGGAAAGTTTGGCGATAAAAGGGTTAATGATGCTGGCAAGCTTATACTGGCGGTATGCAAGGAAAAGGGTCTTCTTGTGACAAACACTATGTTTAATCACAAGAAAATCCATATGTATACTAGAGAAAGAAAGAATGAGAGAAGTATGATCGATTTGTTCCTGGTGGATGACCGACTGCGAAAACAGGTTATGGATACGCGAGTGTTCAGGGGTGCTGACCTGGGAACGGATCACTATCTGGTGATTACTAGATTTAGGGGTCTGTTCGCGGGTTGGCGCTACCGGACGACAGTGACAGAACCACAGTCGGTCTGTCGCATCCGAAGCTGGAAGCTTCAGGAAGCGGATACTAGGGACAAATATCATGCGAGGGTAGCCGAAAAGCTTGACACCATCGATGGCAGAAACGAATGTGTAGAAAGAACATGGCAGAACCTTAGGGATGGAATGGTAAGTGCAGCGGAAGAAGTGTGTGGAACAATAAAAAGAGGCAGTAGTAAAAGAAGAGATGCATGGTGGAATGATGAAGTGAAAGAAGCTGTAAAGAAGAAGAAGAAAGCATGGTTAGACTACTTGGCCTCTAGTAATGATAAGGATATGAGAGAGAAGATGAAAGAAAGATATAAGCTGCAGAAAGTTCACACGAAAGCATTGATTGAGGAAGTGCGTGAAAGGTGTAGAATGGAAGCGGATGAAAGGTTGTCGCACAACTTTAAGGAGAACTCCAAACTCTTCTGGAAAGAGGTTGGAAGGACCCGAAGTGGTGCGACGGCCTTAAGAATGAACAAAGTGCTTTCGAGAACTAATGACGTCCTCTCAGAAAAATCGGACGTCATGCAGCGATGGAGCGAATTTTATAGAGAAATGTATGCGTGTGATGATCTTAGTGAGGGATCCGGGGATGACGCCGTGACTGGCACGCCAGACCCGGACCTCGATGACACTGAGGTCATCAGTATGAAAGAGATTGAACGTGCGATTCGAAGTTTGAAATGTGGTAAGGCTGCGGGACTAGACAGAGTTACTGCTGAAATGGTCAAGTATGGTGGGCCTCGCGTCTGGGACAGCTTTCATCTGCTGTGCAATTTGTGCTGGCGGACGGGGGATGTCCCGGATGATTGGCGATCCGCAGTCATTGTGCCTTTATATAAAGGTAAAGGTTCACATTTTGACTGCGGGTGCTATCGGGCGATCAGCTTGACCAGTTTAGCAAGTAAAGTTTACTCGAAGGTTTTGACACGTAGGATGCAAGAGAAATCGGAAAGATTTCTATGGGAGGCACAATGCGGATTTAGACCTGGAAGAGGATGCACGGATCAAATGTTTTCTCTCCGTATGATCACGGAAAAGCTTCTGGCTGTTAACCAGAAGATTTTCTGTGCTTTTGTGGATCTTGAGAAAGCATTTGATAAGGTTGTAAGGAAGAAAATGTGGGAACTGTTGCCGGGGTATGGTGTGGATGGCCGATTGCTAAGGGCTGTGCAGTCTCTTTACTGTGACTGTAAAGCCTGTGTGCGGGTAGGGCATGACCTGTCACCCATGTTTAGCGTCCAAACGGGCGTAAAACAGGGTTGTGTCATGTCTTCCTGGCTGTTCATACTGTATCTCGACAGCTGTTTACAAAAGCTGAAAGATAGCTGTTTGGGTGTGAAATTGGGTGACATAAAAGTAAATTGTCTGCTGTATGCTGATGATGCAGTGCTTATTGCACCATCAGAGGCAGAACTGCAGGCATTAGTCACGTGTATGAAAGAGGAATGTGAAATTAAAGGTCTCCGTTTGA